TGGGCACAACCAGCAGCAAGTGAATTAGATGTCGGATTCAAGTTTTGTGACGCACACCAGGTTTTTCAGTAGTTTTTGTACGCATGCTCAGCTGGTATGGAAACTGACCAGTCAAAAAACACATAGAGATATCCCGGCCTTGTTCACTGCCTAGCGCGTCAGTTATCACTCCTTTGCTGACTACGGCCACTTCTGGGCTGCCGCTGTCCGCCGGGCAGGTCGTCCGCCGCGCCGCGTTTTGTTGGAGCTGGGGTTCCCCTCATTTCGTGGCAGTTAACAATATAATATACTGCTGACTTTGTTATTCCAGTCTCAGCTAGGTGTCACATCAAGTCCGCCCTTTGTCAGCGTTGTTTTTTTATGTGTCTCGCTACCGAAACTATAGTATGGTGCCGGAACTCCTCGACACGATGAGTAAATGAAAAGTGGAATAATATCGTCTGATGTGCTCATGCTCAACATAATATTTTTCGTTGATGTAACCAAGAAAAGCCTTGAGCCTCTGGCCTTTCAGCATTTTGAGTTTTGGGTTTTCCGTGGCAATAATCGACCTTAAAAATTCACGAGATGGTGTTCAAGATCACAAATCATCACGAGCACAACCCGAAACGTTGAATTTCGTCCATATCGCCATTGCTCACTTAGTAACGTTGTTTAGCCGGTGCCTCCTGGCATACTGAAAGACATCGTGGACAGAATAAGAACTCCTGACAGTAGCAGCTTAGCAGGGGAAGTGCTTATGCGGACAAATTGCTGAGGCATCACAGTTTGTTAGTTTGTACCCAAAATTGGTGTAGATCTGTTATATGCATCTGCCACGATTAGCTGTGTACAATGCAGCCTTTAAACCGTTTTCTATGCATCTTCAATGACTCAGATTTTTCTGTCGAAAACATGATTTTCTCAAAGCTATTTCGTCTGTTGGAAACTTGAGTTTTGTTCGCACACAATTTGATGTGTTTAACAGCATCCGATTTGGTTTTACAGATCTTAGTTCAACACGGTTTTCAGTAGAATTTGTGATCGAATTGTTCCTGTAGTAACTGGTATGAACGTCTGTAGGGTCTGATGCGGTCTTTGGAGAAGATCGTTGTTTTACGATTTGGATGGAACATCTTGCAAAAGCCACAACACGCTCTGTTGTCTTGAAACGCCAAAATCAAATGCGGTTGAGTCAAACCTTCGGATTGCATCCCGCAAAACAACAGTACAGGGGGTTTGGCGTCGACGGTACAGGGGGTTTGGCGTCGATGGTACAGGGGGTTTGGCGTTGATGGTACGGGGGTTTGGCGTCGATGGTACGGGGGTTTGGCGTCGATGGTACGGGGGTTTTGCGTCGTCGCTGTCCTGTATACTCATACCCATGGCCGGCGTTTTGATATCTGGTAACAACTATAATGATTGGCTTCTTAAACGTGTTGATCATTCGACCGCGATTTCCTCGTAATTATGTGAGAAAGGAACGATTTGGGCTAATGAAATGCTATATTTCGCTAACTGGTCTTCCGCATGCTTGTCAAAGACCAGAAAGTGTACATTTTTGACATGTGGAACAGCCTGTAAAAGACTTCACATTTCCATGTTTGAGGAAGTCCTGTGGTCGAAGTATAATGTTTGGCCCAACGTCGATTTTCCTTATTCACATGACTACGAAAAAGCGGGACCAAATGGCGCTGAAACAAGTGGCCTACGCATTTCATTTTTTCTGTTAGCGAGATGCGCATTACAGCAAGTATTTCTTTTTTCCACCTTATTTTGAGCACTCATTGCATCGGCCTGTCATGATAGCCTTCAAATGTGGCACTCTCCCTTCCAATGTAATGTGGACAGCAGAGATGGGAGGCGTGCCTTCTGCCCCGCGGACGCATGTGTCCAGCCTGCCGCAACCGCTGTGTGCCGCACGCCTAACTGTTCTGTGGGCGCGCGATCTCGTGGGCTGTCCACGCTGCCCCCTGTGCTGCGTCATGCTCGTCAGCTTCGGCGTGCCGAATGGGAGCTTGCGCGAGCCCCGCCCCGCGGGGTCCGCCGCCGGCTGACGAGTTTTAGCGCTGTGCCGGCTCCGCTGACGACTCGCCGGCCCGCAGCTAAGTGCTCTCGGCGGCCCCATGGGCACGGGCTTGGTCCCAGGTGGGCTCGACCGCGCTCGCCTCCCGCTGTCATATGCCCAGATGCGTTCGTAACAAGGGAAAGATCGTTAAGATGCTGGATCGGTGTTTATGCCTTTGTACCTGTCGTTTGTTGACTCTCGTTTTTTATGGTGGCAGGTAGGAAGTACATAGCTGACACACAGTTAGCCGGGTGGCATTTTGTTATCGCTCATCGCATAGATGTGACTTCACGGCATACTTGTGACATTAGCGCCTTATTTCTTACGTCGTCCGGTAGCGAGTTCCAGAACTTGTCGTGTCCCAGGCTAAGTTTAAAGGTCTGAGGAACATGCCTATTTCATGAGGCGTGAAATGTGTAGATACCCTGGGACCTTCCCACGCGCATTGGCCGAGCGGGGGCTTGGGAGCCTGGCGAGGCCCGTCACCGCGTCCGTCTCCTGACCGTCGGCCGTGACAACGCAGGTGACCTGTTCGACATGCTGCTGCCCATGCTCAGCATATATCAAGAGTACGTGCGCAACCACTACTACGGCCTGAAGGTGAGCTATCCACATATAATGCATAATGCATATGCATAATGCATAATGCATAATGCATCGCGCAGCTGACCTGTGCGGGATCAGACCTGCGCAGAAGGTGCGGACAGACGCTTCGTGTTTGCCACCCGACACCTCATTCTCCGGGGCTGGCGCTGGCTCAGTCTGCCGATTCATGCTGAAAGTTCCGTCGACATTTCCCCCGAATTTGGCTTGCGTCACCTTGTTGCGAACTATCCACACATTATGTATGCGTGTATGCAGTGACACGCTATGCAGAGGGGACACTGGGAGCACGTGCAAGTGGCGCAGCCAAGGGGGGCTCATGGGTCTTAAGCAAACCTCCCCTGGTCAGGCTCGACCGTAGATTTTCACCACAACGCCACTGGGTATACTTCCGGAATCTGGTGACCAGAAAAATATTTTGGCTTTAAATCTCACAAGCACTACCATGTTTTTCTCTTATGATTTATGATACTTCTCAGGGCTGAGTCATATTTGAGCATACAAAAAACACATTGGCTCCAAACTCACGCAAGTTGAAAACATGTGAATGGGCCAAAATGATAGCGCGTATTCTTTAATTTTTTGCATCTTTATCAGAAAGTATAAATATGCTGGCCTACTTAGTTTTTGCACGTATACGGGTCTGGGGTCAAGGTGCCTTGATGATTACAGCATCATGAGAAACGACGCATAGAGCCCAACAGCCGTAATTGAGTAGTAACACTAGCGGTTAACCTAATGAGCATGTACACTACGCAGCTAAAACAATGGTTTGAGGCACCAGGACAAACCAACATCGATAGGGGTTGATGCGTAAGGTCTGTACCTCTTAGCGTTTGTGGAGTTTGCTAGTCCGTTTTGCAGTGCGTAGGTATTCTTAATGGAGCTGAAAAGCGCTTGTACAAAAAAATAGCTCCCCTCGTCGCAAATCATGATAGACCCCTTTCACAAATTCTGGCTGCGCTCCTAATCCGCGTAATCCTTTATAAAATGCTGATGTGTATTCATTTTCATGGGAATAAATGTTGGTAATCATAAGTGATGGCTACATTCGTAAAATAAGTAGTGCGTTATGTCAATGAAGTAATTTCGTAAGCCCACCGCACTCTAAAATCGAGTTTTCAGTTTTTGCATCGGATGCCTTTCTTTTTGAGATATCCCGCATGTACCAGCTGTTTTGCGCGCGAGCTCTTTATGGCTATCTGGGCAGGTCAGGCGGGTCCAAGGACCTCATGATGTCGCCAAGCCCGCCCGTGAAGTGTATTGTGACTCTCAGCACCGGCCCGCAGCGACCTGTATGGCGCGGACCGACCCGTGGCCCCGCCCCCAGGTACTCTCCGAGTGCAAGCAGAGCTCGCAATTCTCGACGTTCCTGAGCCGCTTGGAGGCCAAGTCTACCTGTCAGGGCCGCACGCTGGAAACCTTCCTCACCTACCCCATGCATCAGGTATGCTGACTCATGTACACGATAACGTCGGGGAGGGGGGGGGGGGGGCGCTGCTCCTGACGTTTGCGCTGAACTGCAAGCAGGTGCTCTGCCATGTCGGGGTTTTATGTTCCTCAGATGTGGTACATGTTTTCCTAGCTGAGATTAGGCGCAACATAGCTCATGTTTTCGCACCTGAGTTTGAGACAATCCCAAGTGTTAACGTTCTGACCGTATATTACTGTCCATGGTGGTCACGGTAGAAGTGCTTACGAATGTCTATGGACGGATGCCAACATCAGGATTTTCTTCTTTCAATCATGAATTACATCAGAAAATAATCAAATTTACCAATACAATCATTTGCAGTCTGATATAGCGGTGTGAATCTCTCAATGTGTATTTCGTTCCCGTCTGGCTGCTCTCAGAATTGCAAGCGAGTGGTCATACGTCCAAAGCCTGCAATGTCCGGCAGCGCTCTTTCTGCCCGTCCGGTTAACCGGCTTGCCTCGCGAGCCGTCGCCATGGCAACCGGCCACTGATTGACGAACAATTACTGGGGCCCTTTGGACTGCGACACGAGTGGCTCCCCGGCCGGACTGAAGGGCGTCGGGCTGCATTGGAGCCAGCCGGCACGTGATTAGACGGCTGCCGGCCGCGCGCCGCCGCCGCTGGCTGGCCGATCGGCTCCGTCAGCGTGCTCAGTGGGGTCTGCTCGGGCCAGGTGCGCCACCAGGCTAGTCAAACCAGGGGGGGGGGATGAGTCCGTCTATGGGAGACTCAAGCCCAGAGAAGAAAATGTGAAACAGGGACACGCTTCGCTTTACCTCTCGTTCCAAAATTACAGTGACGACGCGTGGTCACTGTTCCCCGCTCGGGTCGCGCCCGCGTTGCAATCGTCTTCGTCCTCAATCTGTGTCGCAGATCCCGCGGTACATCGTGACGCTACACGAGCTGCTGGCGCACACGCCTCATAACCACGTGGAGCGGAGGTCTCTGGACGAGGCCCGCAGGCAACTGGAGCACCTCAGCAGGCAGATGCAGGACGAGGTAAGATGTCAAAGGCTACAGCATCAGGGACACGACTGCGTTTTCCACTTGAGCACGTATGCATGAATAAGGTGGTGCTCGTTGCAGTTAAGTCCTTGCTTGCAGTTCAGTCCCCAGTAAACACTTGAGATGATGGCGGAGTACGGAGATGATGGCTTGCCCACGTTCAGCGATGAGGCTGACACGTTACCGGCTACATTTGCGATCGGTGTGATGAAATTGCATTTGATATAGATTGTTGATTATCGCTAGTAGCGCATGCATGACGTACTCTGTAGGCATGATTCAAAATATGCTAGATGATTTACTCGATAAATGCCTTATAAGATGTTCAAGGGACTCAAAAACCCTATTTTAGCTAGTGCGTTGACTGATGACGTCACCATAAAAGTTAGCGAGCAAGTGTACTTCACTAGGAAGCACTTTTATTCTGCGTTTGCAGCACATCTTTAGCACCAACCTGACATCTGCTGGCACCCATCTGACGCCTGTCTGACATCCTCAGGTGCCCGTCTGACATCCATATGACACGTTCCAGTGACCTTCTGACGCCTGTTTGACATCCTCGCGTGCCCGTTTGACACCCGTCTGACACCTTGTGGTACCTGTTTGACGCCCGTCTGACGCCTCCCGGTGCCGTCTGACGCCTGTCGACATCCGTTGGTGCCCGTCTGACGCCAGTGTGACACCCGCTGGTGCCATCTGACACCTGTTTGACACCGGCTGGTACCCATCTGACACCCGTCTGACACCCGCTGATGCCCGCTGGCAGATGAGCGAGGTGGAGTGCACTCTGCGCAGCGTAGCCATCGAGCGGAGGATGATGCAGGGCTGCGACCTGCTGTTCGACGTAAACCAGGTGTTGACGGCCCAGGGGCGCGCGCCGCCCGCGCGCACGCAGCGCTCTCGCTCCATCTCCGACTCTGGCGCCGGTTCAGTGTCGCTCTCGCCGTCGCCTTCCATCACCAACCAGGCGCGCTCGCTCTCCTGCTTCCACCTGGAGGCGCGCAAGGTGTCCACCTCGTTCCCGCGCGTCTCGATCGACTTCCCGCGAGACAAGAAGGAGCTCTTCCTCTCCGAGGACAGCGACGACCCGTGGAGCAAGGCGGGCGGCCAGCGCGAGCGCAGCCACAGCACGGTAAGCTGCCAGCCGTCGCAGGAGATCGCGGCCGCGCTGCAGCGTCACCGCCACTCCTGCCAGATCTTCGGCCGCAGCGACGACGAGGACATCCGTCGACTGAAGAGCCTGCGCAAGTGCTCGGTCGGCCCGTACCTGGCCGTGCCGTCCGTCATGATCAGCGACGTGGCCGTCTCCGTGCCGTCGTCGTCCTCCAGCCTGCGCTCCAGCATCTCCTCGCAGCCGCGCACGCCGCGCGGCAGGCGCTCCATCACGTTCTTGGACGCGGTCGTGTCGCAGCGGCTGTGAGCACGCCGATGGGACCGGCCCGTGCCCTGGGCGGTGCTACCGCTGGTCGGAGGAGTCGCTCGGCGCAACAGCTATGGGGATGCTGCCTCGCGGCGCGACGCGGGCGGATGGGGACCGGTGGCGGGGGTTAGCGTATCAGCTGTGCTGCTGTGTTTGGACAGAGCGGACAGTACGGCTGACGATGGGGATGCGCCACGGCCGCTGCCAAGGCTGTCAGGTGGTCGGCTTTCGGAGAAGCAGTGGCCGATGTGTGTATCACTGGGAGGTGACGTTGGTGCGGACCTTTTAGGCCTGGTGGCCACTTTTAGGCATGGCACCTTCTGGTGCCATGCCTCTGACGAACAAGACTTAGGTGATATCACCTTGTGCTCAGCTGGGCCATTATGGTGACCAAGGGGAGCAACAAGGAGGGAGGATGAAGCCCACAAGGCCTTTGGCCCCGAGACAAGCCCCTGGAGGGCTTCATTGTGCGTTTGAGTACTGCTCACACCTCATGAGTGACGCGAAAAAATCTGCATCTTACGGCTCCTGTTAGCTCAATGTAATCGTGTTTTTGATCGACATTGGTGTACGTACCTGGCTCAGATTTGGGCAGGTATGCATGTACCTTCCACGCTGGCTGGGCCCCTCGGCATCCGCACTTCCATTTCGCCGGGAATGTACATAAACCCATGTGACTGTTTTGTGTCATGAATGTTATGAACATCGTCCCGCGATAGGTGCCACTGCTAAAATCGGTCCTGGTTTTGGCAGGAAAAATTCAGAAAATGTACCTTGTTTTTGACTGTATGCAGATTATGGTCGACGTTCGTTATTGAAGCCGAAACGTTTGTTTTGCCTTCGTCCGTCGTTTTGCCGCGAAGCTCACTTCCATGAGGCGACTGCAGGTACGCCATGGTGAGTTTCTGGAGTGCAATGGTCTTGTCAGTAGGAAAAACAGGGAATACGACCTTGCATAACACATAACTAATGCCGAGCTGATATAGGCTAGGTCTTGACCTGATGCTATTCAAAGTTGGCAGAGTTTTTCGGGAAGGCGTTTGGCGGTCTGCTGGGGAGCCTGAAGCTCCTCATTTGTAACCGAAACCACTCACCTTGTCCATTTTCTTGATCGATTGTGGTCCCCAAAGGCTGAAACCATGTGCAAACGGCATGCACTGTTTTCCTCTGGTGCCAAGAAATAGGCATGCTGAATTTTTTCGATGTCAGGAAAAATGATCTTGAAGTATTTTGTTTCATACATTATAAAATATTCGATGAAATTAGTGAAATTAGCTTTAACGTACACTATAGGTGAACTAATTTGTCACAATTTTGAGGTACCTAGCCGCGGCCTCGTCGTCAAATAAGGTGACATTGTCAAAATAAGGTGACATTGTCAAAACTCGAAGCTGGTGTCAAACGTACCCCCAAACCTGCTCATGCAAACAGTTTTAATTTTTAAGTTTTTTCTAAACAAAAAATCCCACGAGGTCATCAACGGTCGGTGTCTGTATTTGGATTCAACGTGGCCAGAGTGACCAAGAACCTTTGAAAGGTCGTTTTGTATTTTGAATTAAGAAACATGTTTACGCCCTTAAGATCAAGAAATTCCAAAAATGAGCGTCACAAACTACAATATGATAACGTTTTTAAACAAAGCGTTTAGTTTTGACTTAAGGCTAACCAGGGCACCAGACCCAAGAGCTTTGGAGAAAGTTGGGATCCTAATTTCAGTCGTCTAATTGTCTAAGAAATCATCCCAAAGCTGTATAACTTCGCCAAGCACACGCCATGGCATCGACTTGAGCGATTCCCTAAAAATTGCCTTTGCTGACAGCTATGGTCTCACATTTGACCTGCTTCAGGTCAGTGAACTTAAGAGATATGGTTAATCGCTCAACCCAAAAGATTGGCTATTCAACTGTGACCAGCTGCGCAACATATGGCTTGGTTTCCCCGTAGCGTTCTGAAGGTAATTTGGAAAACCTAGGGGGTCGTATTGACCACCACCCCAGCCGAGTGCGCGTCAAGGAACAGAAAGGTCCATGGCGAAGGAAATGATGCGAAAGCATCGTTACCCATGGACGCGAAACGGTTTTCCAAATCTGGTTTCATTGAGATAAAACCGGCTTAGCCTCATCAAAATTGCAAGCAATAGGGGTTTTCCTGTGGTTCTCAGTCACCCTGAAAATGCTGTGCATGGCTTATTTTATGTCGCATGTGGGATGGGAGTTGGTAGTTGCTCAAAGCCTCTCCCAGGGACAGTATATTTCAGAGGTTTTGCGGTCCATGTACTATTTTGTCTTTGCTAGCTCCATTTGATTTCATGTTTTATCAACTTCAAGCGATGACGTCATACCACTGGCGTTTCCTTACTCACGAAAGCTGCGGTTAAAGCTGATAGGCTGTACCTGTCTAGAATATGATCGTTTGTAGACAACAAGAAAAGCTTCAAAAAACGAAGTTGATAAAAATTAGCGAAAGGTGTACTGCGCATCATTGTGAAAGCCATGCTTGTGTTTGTATGTTGAGCAGCGATGTGTACTTGGTGCAGGGATGGGATGGACCACTCACGGAGCCCTGGCGATCATTGTGCGGCGAGGGGCTTAACGAGGCCACGGGATGGGCCAACGGCGTGCTGGATGGGCCCACGGTCATTGTGCTGTGCTAGCCACAGCGCCTTGCGTCACTCGCATTGTCCGCTTTCTTTGTGACGTTTTTGAGTGTCGTGTTTTTAACGCTGAATTAAATCCATGTTTTGCTAATTTGCGTTTGGACTTAGTGCTGCTCACAACCTGCTCATTGCGAAAATGACGATAAATAGGATTGGCAGCTTTGGATATAAGTATTGGGTTAGGGCCTTGTATTTATATTCACTGAAATGTCGTAGACTTAGAGGGAATCTGATCGAGGTATTCAAGATTATGAGAGGGATAGACAAGGAAGATCCACTATTAGCACTGGAAATTAGACCGAGATTTCGAGAAAACCGGTTTCAGGTAGCAAAATATAGGAGTGGAACTGCGAAGAGGCAGGTGTTACTTAGTCAATGAGTGGTGAATTACTGGAATGGCCCGTCAAACGAAGCTATAGGAAGTCCCTCTCTAGTAATATTTACAACTCATTTGGACAAGCTCTATCAGTCTAAGGATCTTATTTATAGCTCAATGCAGGCAGGTCAGGTGGTGACATTGCCTTCGAGGACGTGTGCGGAACCTGAGGTAGGCCAATCCCGATGGGCCCTTGTGGCTTTTTGTTAGCCTGAAGCTTTTGTGTCTTTATGTCTTAATCTTTAACTCACTACAAGACATTTCGAGAAACCACGAACACCAGGTGTTGATGCGTAACTGTAAACCTAACGATACAACTTAGATCGTTGTTTTTTTAGAGGAACTGAATCACGAGAGTGGCCGCAGGAGTGAGTGAGTTTGCTCCAACTATGACAATATTTTCTATTTGGCGGCCCGGTTCGGCCAAGACGGCCTCACCGAATTTGTCTTGAATACGCCCTATGCTGGACATGGTTTGGTCTAATAATAATATTTTCAGCGTTGACATTGCTGCGTTCATTATGAAATTCAAATTGTTGATAATGCAAACCCTAACCTGCTGTCGTCTAAGTTCCAGCGGTCTCTAACTCAGCTCAACAAGCATATTATTCACACTCTCTTGCCTATCATATTCACTTAACATAAATCTGGCCGCCCTTCTCTGAACCATTTATGCTATGGACTAATCGTGCGCCATTGGGGCCTGATACGCAACATGCGTATGCACACGCATGTCACTGACAGTGTCGTATTTTTGACGCATATGACATTGATATAGTATTGACAACTACAACATTGGCGCATTATTGACATACATGACATTGACATAATATTGGCACAATACTGGCATATTCTATGTCATGTCATGTCGCTGGGGCTTTACGACGCACTCAGCTGCTGAGGCTCTATGGCGTCGCCTGCCTGAAAGTCACGAAATACTGTCAACTCCGTCCCACTCATATCGCTGTGTCAGTGATCTCTAACTCATGGTGTTCGGGTAGGGGCCCTATATGTACATGACTGCACAGCAGCATTTCGGAGTGTGATCATAGGCTGCTGCTGCACAAACTGAACATAACATATATCAGAGTGGTGGTACTGAGGTGGATGGAGCCCGTCCCTTCTAACTGAAAACGGCCGGTTGAGGTAAACGGCAGACCTTCTTCAAAGGAAAGCGTACTTTCATGCGTACCGGAGGGCAGCCTTTGGTTTACATTGTGATTTGCTCCTTCCGTAATGACTAACCAGCCAACATAAAACAAACTATTCAATTGTTTGCAGAGGATATAAGCCTCTTTTCAGAGAATTCAGGCGTACAGGGTGCCTTGGACTTTTAAAGCGATCTAAACAGCTCACCTAGTTGGGCTTAAGCTTGAGATCTTCAGTTTAACTTTGAAAACGCAGCTCGTTTTCCGTGGTCTTCAGCAGTGTATACGTCTCTTTATTGTACTGGATCGATACTATCAGTCTGGGGCGAGATAGAGTCATTCGAGGCTTAGGGGTGATCGCAGATAGTGGATGGGCAGTTGCAAAGGTCATTAGATGTGTGGATCACTTAGTGTGCTCAATGTACACGGAAATTAAAGGAATTTGTTTTCAAGTGTAGTTCGGTTTTGACTGGCAATGAAGCGAACTTACGTTCCATTTGAGAACAATGCTTATGCCACTAGGGATGCGTAGCGAGGGCTAATTTACGTATACATTCAACAACATTTGGTGGTTAATAACACAAATTCACGTAATTGCCATAAAGCTACATTTGCGGCATGGCGAAAAGCACAGCATAAAGTGGGCCAAGTCGGTTGAATGCAGCTCTTAGCGAAAGTGACACGCGATCTATTATTGTAATTCATCATTCAGACGGGACTATTTGAGTGGTCATCCCCGCTTGGAAACCATGTTCCTCCTTCCGCACTCCAACTCGCATTTTTGCGACTACCGAAAGGAATAATGGCAACCCGGTGAATATCGTATAGCTGATGACGCAATG